AGAGCAACATACAGTGGGAAAAAAAGTATATATATATATGTGTACCTATGATGAAAATTACAGGCCTCTCTCATCTTTTTAAGTGGGAGAACTTGTACAATTGGTGGCTGACTAAATACTTTTTTCCCCACTGTAGCTTCAGTGTGTAAATTAGCTAGAAAGATGTGTAGGCATCGAGTAATTGTCTCTGGTCCCCTCCCAGTAAGGGCGAGTGATGAGCTCTACAGCAGAGTCTCACAACTCAATCGCTGGTTGAAAACTGTTTTTTGCCCCTCCAAAAAGATAGCATTTGTAGATAATTGTCCCTCTTTCTGGGACTCAAACACAAACAGGACCAAGCCTGGCCTGCTGAGGAGTGACGGACTCCATCCTAGCTGGAGGGGTGCTACAGGACCAAGCCTGGCCTGCTGAGGAGTGACGGACTCCATCCTAGCTGGAGGGGTGTTACAGGACCAAGCCTGGCCTGCTGAGGAGTGACGGACTCCATCCTAGCTGGAGGGGTGCTACAGGACCAAGCCTGGCCTGCTGAGGAGTGATGGACTCCATCCTAGCTGGAGGGGTGCTCTCGTCTTATCTACCAACATAGACAGGGCTCTAACTCCTCTAGCTATCCCCAATGAGATAGGGTGCAGGCCAGCAGCAGGCTGTTAGCCAGCCTGACAGCTTAGTGGAGTCTGCCACTAGTACAGTCAGTGTAGTCAGCTCAGCTATCCCCATTGAGACCGTGTCTGTGCCTCGATCTAGGTTGAGCAAAACTAAAAATGGCGGTGTTCGCTTTAGCAATCTCACTGGAATAAAGACCTCCTCCATTCCTGCCATTATTGAAAGAGATTGTGATATCGCACATCTCAAAATAGGGCTACTTAATGTTAGATCCCTCACTTCCAAGGCAGTTATGGTCAATGAACTAATCGCTGATCATAATCTTGATGCAATTGGCCTGACTGAAACATGGCTTAAGCCTGATGAATTTACTCTGTTAAACGAGGCCTCTCCTCCTGGTTACACTAGTGACCATATCCCCCTCGCATCCCGCAAAGGCGGCGGTGTTGCTAACATTTACGATAGCAAATGTCAATTTACCTTCCAGAAAATGACTGCGTTTTCATCTTTTGAGCTTCTAGTCATGAAATCTATGCAGCATACTCAATCACTTTTTATAGCTACTGTTTACAGGCCTCCTGGGCCGTATACAGAGTTCCTCACTGAGTTCCCTATCGGACCTTGTAGTCATGGCAGATAAAATTCAAATTTTTGGTGACTTTAATATTCACATGGAAAAGTCCATAGACCCACTCCAAAAGGCTTTCGGAGCCATCATCAACTCAGTGAACTTTGTCCAACATGTCTCCAGACCTACTCATTGCCACAGTCATAACCTGGATCTAGTTTTGTCCCGTGGAATAAATATTGTGGATCTAAACGTTTTTCCTCATTACCCTGGACTATCAGACCACCATGTTATTACGTTTGCAATCGCAACAAATAATCTGCTCAGACCCCAACCAAGGACCATCAAAAGCTGTGCTATAAATTCTCAGACAACCCAAAGATTCCTAGATGCCCTTCCAGACTCCCTCCACCTACTCAAGGATGTCAGAGTACAAAAATCAGTTAATGACCTAACTGAGGATCTACATTTAACCTTGCGTAATACCCTAGATGCAGTCGCAGCCCTAAAAACAAAAAAAACATTTGTCACAAGAAACTAGCTCCCTGGTATTCAGAAAATAAAGCAAATTACAGACTCCTTTTTGAATCTGCGTATTTCTCCAAAGCTCAGTTGTCCTGAGTCTGCACAGAACTGCCAGGACCTAGGATCAATGGAGACACTCAAGTATATCTCTTGAAACATTCTTGAAAATAGTCATGGCCTCTAAACCTTCAAGCTGCATACTGGACCCTATTCCAACTAAACTACTGAAAGAGCTACTTCCTGTGCTTGGCCCTCCTATGTTGAACATAATAAATGGCTCCCTATCCACCGGATGTGAACCAAACTCACTAAAAGTGGCAGTAATAAAGCCTCTCTTGAAAAAGCCAAACTTTGACCCAGGAAATATAAAAAAATATTGGCCTATATTGAATCTCTCATTCCTCTCAAAAATTTTAGAAAAAGCTGTTGTGCAGCAACTCACTTCCTTCCTGAAGACAAATAATTATATGAAACGCTTCAGTCTGGTTTTAGACCCCATCATAGCACTGAGACTGCACTCGTGAAGGTGGTAAATTATATTTTAATGGCGTCAGACCAAGGCTCTGCATCTGTCCTCGTGCTCCTAGACCTTAGTGCTGCTTTTGACATCATCGAGCACCACATTCTTTTGGAGAGATTGGAAACCTTAATTGGTCTACACGGACAAGTTCTTGCCTGGTTTAGATCTTATCTGTCGGAAAGATATCAGTTCGTCTCTGTGGATGGTTTGTCCTCTGACAAATCAATTCTAAGTTTCGGTGTTCCTCAAGGTTCCGTTTTAGGACCACTATTGTTTTCATTATATATTCTACCTCTTGGTGATGTCATTCGGAAACACATTGTCACCTTTCATTGCAATGCGGACGACACACAGCTCTACATTTCGATGAAACATGGTGAAGCCCCAAAATGTCCTACCCTGGAAGCCTGTGTTTCAGACATAAGGAAGTGGATGGTGGCACATTTTTTAACTTTTAAACTCGGACAAAACAGAGATGCTAGTTCTAGGTCCCAAGAAACAAAGAGATCTTCTGTTTGGATCTGACAATTAATCTTGATGGTTGTACAGTTGTCTCCCAAAAAAATTGAAGGACCTCGGCGTTACTCTGGACGCTGAACTCTCTTTTGACGAACATATCAAGAATATTTCAAGGACAGATTTCTTCCATCTTCGTAACATTGCAAAAATCAGAAATGTTTTCTCCAAAAATTATGCAGAAAAGCTAATCCATGCTTTTGATTAGACTACTGCAATGCTCTACTCTCCGGCTACCCGGATAAAGCACTAAATAAACTTAGTGCTAAACATGGCTGCTAGAATCTTGACTAGAACCAACATTTGATCAAATTACTCCAGTGCTAGGCTGTCTACACTGGCTTCCTGTTAAGGCTATGGCTGATTTCAAGGTTTTACTGCTAACCTACAAAGCATTACATGGGCTTGCTCCTACCTATCTCTCCGATTTGGTCCTGCCGTACATACCTACACGTACGCTACGGTCACAAGACGCAAGCCTCCTTATTGTCCCTAGAATCTCTAAGCAAACAGCTGGAGGCAGGGCTTTCTCCTATAGTGCTCAATTTTTATGGAATGGTCTGCCTATCCATGTGAGAGACGAAGACTCGGTCTCGACCTTTAAGTCTTTACTGAAGACTCATCCCTTCAGTAGGTCCTATGATTGAGTGTAGTCAGGCCCAGGAGTGCGAAGGTGAACGGAAAGGCACTGGAGCGACAAACCACCATTGATGTCTCTGCCTGGCCGGTTCCCGTCTCTCCATTGGGATTCTCTGCCTCTGACCCTATTACGGGGGCTGAGTCACTGGCTTACTGGTGCTGTCCATCCCTAGGAGAGGTGCGTCACTTGAGTAGGTTGAGTCACTGACGTGATCTTCCTGTCCAGTTTGTCGCCCCTTCGGGCTCAAGCAGTGGAGGAGATCTTCATGGGCTATACTCAGCCTAGTCTCAGGGTAGTAGATTGGTGGTCTGTTGATATCCCTCTGGTGGTGTGGGGGCTGTGCTTTGGCAAAGTGGGTGTGGTTATATCCTGCCTGGTTGGCCCTGTCCGGGGGTATCGTCGGACGGGGCCACAGTGTCTCCCGACCCCCCCGTCTCAGCTTCCAGTATCTATGCACAATAGTCTATGTGCCGGGGGGCTAGGGTCAGTCTGTTATATCTGGTGTTATTCTCCTGTCTTATCCGGTGTCCTGTGTGAATTTAAGTATGCTCCCTCTAATTCTCTCTCTCTCCCTCTCTCCCTCCCCTCCCGGGAGGACCTGAACCCTAGGACCATGCCTAAGGTCTACCTGGCCTTATGACTCCTGGCTGTCCCCAGTCCACCTAGTCGTGCAGCTGCTCCAGTTTCCACTCTTCTGCCTGCGGCTATGGAACCCTGACCTGTTCACCGGACGTGCTACCTTGTCCCAGACCTGCTGTTTTCAACTCTCTCTTTCTGCCGCACCTGCTATTTCAACCTCTGAATGCCCGGCTATGAAAAGCCAAGTGACATTTACTCCTGATGTACTGACCTGTTGCAACCTCTACAACTACTGTGATTATTATTTGACCCTGCTGGTCATCTATGAACGTTTGAACATCTTGAATAAAAATCTGGCCTTAATGGCCCTGTACTGTTATAATATCCACCCGGCACAGCCAGAAGGGGACTGGCCACCCCTCAGAGCCTGGTTCCTCTCTAGGTTTCTTCCTAGGTTACTGCCTTTCTAGGGAGTTTTTCCTAGCCACCGTGCTTCTACATCTGCATTGCTTGCTGTTTGGGGTTTTAGGGCTGGGTTTCTGTATAGCACTTTGTGACATCTGCTGATGTAAAAAGGGGCTTTATAAATGAATTTGATTGATTGATTGATGACTACTGCAACAGTGAAATAAAAATATTATGAAAATGTTCCACATTAATAAAAAATACACGTCTTCACACCACTGAGTTAATACTTGGTGGAATCACCTTTTACAGCCACTACAGTTTTATAATGTTTTATAAGATTCCACCAACTTTGCACAACTCTTAGGGCAACACAAAGTGCTCAAGCTCAGTAAAGCCAATCTGGTGTGTCTTTAGTATGTGTAATTATTTTTCTGAAAAATAAAACTATCCCAGGGTTAGGTTTTCAGAAGACTGAGGAGAGTTTCTCTAACTTTCCTTTTTTTCATATTTATTTTGATCCTGATGGGTATGCTTGTCCCTGCCGGTGACAAGCATACCCATAACATGATGCTGCCACCACAATACTTGAAAATACAGAGAATCAATTACAAAAAAAACATCAACGCTAAAGACACAACTGAATGGCTCACAAAGAGGTTATGAGTGTTCCAGTCTCCATCCTCATGACTTCAATCTGCTTGGAAATCAGAGACAAGGTTTCAATACAATCTTATTCAAAATTATTCACAGCTGTAATGGTTGCAAAATGTACTTTCACCAAGCATTAACTCTGGGGTGTGAAGACATACACTATCAAGACATTTCGTTTATTTTTTTGGTATTTTTTATGAATTAGGAAATTTTTCTACAATTTATCTTTTGTTTTTGGGAATGTGAAGTAGGCTGTGTAGAGAAATAGGACAAAATCTAATCCATATTTAGATGTAATTCTATGGCAGCAAACTGTATAAGGAAGTGGTATGAAGACTCCCACTATACATTGTATATATATATATATATATATATTTCACAATTTTGAATTGATATTGTCTATTGTTGATAACAAAGTGGTGTCCACCAATGATTATTTTGTGCCTAACCACTCCCTGGTACAGGGTTTGTTCTCAAAGAGAAGGCATGTTGTATCATCCCTGACAAAGGCTGAAATGCATCAGAGTTTAGAATGTTTTGTACTATTGAACATACCATAATGATAAAACCATTTAGCTATATGAAGAATGGTTTGCTCCTCCTTGTTCTCTAACCCCCTTTACCAAAGAGCACATTTGTCTTTGTTGCACACTTGTTAAAGACAGCAGTCTTGCAATGTGTCTGAAGTGGTGGTCTTATGAAGTGTGTTGTTGCAGGTGGACCTTCGTTACAAGACAGCCTTTCACTCTAGCGGCTGTTTTACTGATACCTGGAATTGTGTCAGTGGGGACTGTGGGAATGAGACCAGTCTAGTGGTTAAGGCAGTGAGCCAGGATATATCTGAGGGCTGGTGTCAGACAGAAGGAGTCATGACTAGACACGTCTCCAATAACATACAAACTTTTGATCTACAGTGAGTGTTTCTTTTATATTAAAATCATCCATCCATTACCAGTATTTGTATTAACCTGATTTGTAGTAACAGTGCACAGCTAAGTTATTACATCCTGGTTACCAAAGTAGTTCTATAGCATATGGGCAACATTAGTTAATGCACACAGTATTGTACATGATGAACACCATAACAACAAGAGTGTTTAGGATGTGTTTTTGGAACTCACCTTTCACATTTGTCTCTTTATCATTACAGATTGGATAGCTGTTGCTGGGTATTCAACGATAATTCTGTTAATTCTTGGAGGCTGTTGACTCATGTGGACCTTGGGGTCAGGTCTGACACAGGGAAAGTCAACCGATCTCCACAGACCACTGTCATACCTCTGATTAGGTAAATACTGCTACTTATCAGTGTAAAGTGATTTAGTTCGATGAACAAGTGATTTTATCAATCTGTGTGTTGTATTCAGTCAATAGGAAACAGGTCTGAAACACTGCAATAATGGTCTCTCTCTCTCTCTCTCTCTCTCTCTCTCTCTGTCTCTCTCTCTCTCTCTCTCTGTCTCTGTCTCTGTCTCTGTCTCTCTCTCTCTCTCTCTCTCTCTGTCTCTCTCTCTCTCTCTCTCTGTCTCTGTCTCTGTCTCTCTCTCTCTCTCTCTCTCTGTCTCTCTCTCTCTCTCTCTCTCTCTCTCTCTCTCTCTCTCTCTCTCTCTCACAGTGTCCCTGTTAATTGTCAAAGAGATTTCAACCTGTTGTCCTTTGATCCGGATGGGGATATGGTCAGATGCAGATATGCCGTACCAACGGATGAGTGTGCCACATCTAGTAACCTTCCTAATGACTTCAGTCTACGAGGGGTTAGTATCCAAATAAAACAACACAGGAAACGATGGACTATGATGATGATAGTAGGGAATTAACCCTTAATCATCACCACGGTCAATTTCTGTGCAGTATTTGGCTGCTCTAACAGGGCAGGAAACACAACGGGGAAAAAAATATGTTTACAGATTCCCCGCAAGCAGGTTACTGTCATTTAACATGCCAAGGCAGCAACCAGCTGGCCAAAGCAGGTTACTGTCATTTAACCAGCTGGCCAAAGCAGGTTACTGTCATTTAACATGCCAAGGCAGAAACCATCTGGCCAAAGCAGGTTACTGTCATTTAACCAGCTGGCCAAAGCAGGTTACTGTCATTTAACCAGCTTGCCAAAGCAGGTTACTGTCATTTAACATGCCAAGGCTGCAACCAGCTGGCCAAAGCAGGTTACTGTCATTTAACCAGCTGGCCAAAGCAGGTTACTGTCATTTAACATGCCAAGGCAGCAACCAGCTGGCCAAAGCAGGTTACTGTCATTTAACCAGCTGGCCAAAGCAGGTTACTGTCATTTAACCAGCTTGCCAAAGCAGGTTACTGTCATTTAACATGCCAAGGCAGCAACCAGCTGGCCAAAGCAGGTTACTGTCATTTAACCAGCTTGCCAAAGCAGGTTACTGTCATTTAACATGCCAAGGCTGCAACCAGCTGGCCAAAGCAGGTTACTGTCATTTAACCAGCTGGCCAAAGCAGGTTACTGTCATTTAACATGCCAAGGCAGCAACCAGCTGGCCAAGCGGGTTACTGTCATTTAACCAGATGGCCAAAGCAGGTTACTGTCATTTAACCAGCTTGCCAAAGCAGGTTACTGTCATTTAACATGCCAAGGCTGCAACCAGCTGGCCAAAGCAGGTTACTGTCATTTAACCAGCTGGCCAAAGCAGGTTACTGTCATTTAACCAGCTGGCCAAAGCAGGTTACTGTCATTTAACCAGCTGGCCAAAGCAGGTTACTGTCATTTAACCAGCTGGCCAAAGCAGATTACTGTCATTTAACCAGCTGGCCAAAGCAGGTTACTGTCATTTAACCTGCTGGCCAAAGCAGGTTACTGTCATTTAACCAGCTGGCCAAAGCAGGTTACTGTCATTTAACCAGCTGGCCAAAGCAGGTTACTGTCATTTAACCAGCTGGCCAAAGCAGATTACTGTCATTTAACCAGCTGGCCAAAGCAGGTTACTGTCATTTAACCAGCTGGCCAAAGCAGGTTAATGTCATAACTTCAATGTTAGAGTAACATAAACATGACTTTCTGAATTACAGTACATTAGGTCATGGGCTGCTGTAAGATAGGCTACTTTAGCAACAAAACTGACACGTGCGGAACTATGGGGCAAAACAGAAGGGGTTGGCTTAGCTTGTTGACAACATTGTTTATTGAAAACATAAAATACACTTTCACAATGAGCACTTGTTGTCTCTCAAATACATAGTTACAGTTGTTGGTTAGCTAGCTAGCTATTTCTTTTTGCCATATTAGCATAGACATGACATCAGTCAAACACCTGAAAACAAGACATGGTATTTATGACAAGATACAACGAGCTGAAACGAGCCATCTACGATTCCCCACATGGCAGCTTCTTGTCATTGTTGCTAACTCTCTGATCGTTCAGAATCATAACGCATGCCTTCCAGTCACATCTATATTATATCTGAAAAATAATACTTTGGGTGTGTTTATGACGGTCTTTGGTGACATTAGAATACAAAAATATATATATTTCAAAAATAACAATAGCATTTTCATTAGTTTATGTTACTGTATCTGCTGCAGTGTGCTCACTTCGAGAGGAACAGTGGTTCTTCTTGGAGAAAGTGGTATCTAGAAAAATGTTGAGTGTTGACAAATGTAAGTGTTTTGGAAACCTCAGAATCTGCTCTTCTGATACTATATAGAAATCAAAATCTTACCTGCATGTGATTCTGTAGGTGGATTTGAAAATTTGGCTCGAGAATAAATAAATAAGAACTTTCTTCCTAAAACTGTTTGTGATATCGAAATTCTAAAAACATCTCTGTGTTAAATAGACTTATTTAGGGAAAGATTGGGGCATGACTTAAAAAACTAGCTGAGATATTTCACTTTAAAATGTATATGCAGTCAAAATGACTGTCTCGGCTCGTCTAGTGTTAAGTGTTATATAGTTAGTTGATAAGTTGTTGTTGATGGTTGAATGACAATCATGTGATTGCTATAACTTTCCAGGTTGAGATGGCGGTCCCAAGTTTGTTTCCAAAAAGTATTTCTGTTGCACACCACTAATTAGGGTAGATGATGCACTTTAGAGACGAATCCCCAGATTTTCAGTAAACTGATTCAAATCCCGAGATTCTCAGTAAACTGATTCAAATCCCCAGATTCTCAGTAAACTGATTCAAATCCCCAGATTCTCAGTAAACTGATTCAAATCCCCAGATTCTCAGTAAACTGATTCAAATCCCCAGATTCTCAGTAAACTGATTCAAATCCCCAGATTCTCAGTAAACTGATTAGAATCCCCAGATTCTCAGTAAACTGATTCAAATCCCCAGATTCTCAGTAAACTGATTCAAATCCCCAGATTCTCAGTAAACTGATTCAAATCCCCAGATTCTCAGTAAACTGATTCAAATCCCCAGATTCTCAGTAAACTGATTCAAATCCCCAGATTCTCAGTAAACTGATTCAAATCCCCAGATTCTCAGTAAACTGATTAGAATCCCCAGATTCTCAGTAAACTGATTCAAATCCCCAGATTCTCAGTAAACTGATTCAAATCCCCAGATTCTCAGTAAACTGATTCAAATCCCCAGATTCTCAGTAAACTGATTCAAATCCCCAGATTCTCAGTAAACTGATTGAAATAATAAAATGTAGGTTTTAATCAGTGATTTCCCAGCCATCCTCCTGCAATGTTGACACTAATCTAGTGAGCACCTTTGGAGCTCCACCCAAGCAAGGCATTTGATTGTTTTTTAAATTTTTTATTTGTTTAACCTTTATTTAACCAGGTAAGCCAGTTGAGAACAAGTTCTCATTTACAACTGCGACCTGGCCAAGATAAAGCAAAGCAGTGCGATAAAAACAACAACAACACAGAGTTACATATGGGGTAAACAAAACATACAGTCAATAACACAATAGAAAATCTATATACAGTGTGTGCAAAAGTAGCAAGTTATGGAGGTAAGGCAATAAATAGGCCATAATGCAAAATAATTACAATTAGTATTAACACTGGAGTGATAGATGTGCAAGAGATGATGTGCAAATAGAGATACTGGGGTGCAAATAAGCAAAATAAATAACAATATGGGGATGAGGTAGTTGGGTGGGCTAATTACAGATGGGCTGTGTACAGGTGCAGTGATCGGTAAGGTGCTCTGACAACTGATGCTTAAAGTTAGTGAGGGAGATAAGAGTCTCCAGCTTCAGAGATGTTTGCAGTTCGTTCCAGTCATTGGCAGCAGAGAACTTGAAGGAATGGCGGCCAAAGGAGGTATTGGCTTTGGGGATGACCAGTGAGATATACCTGCTGGAGCGCATACTACGGGTGGGTGTTGCTATGGTGACCAATGAGCTAAGATAAGGCAGGGATTTGCCTAGCAGTGATCTATAGATGACCTGGAGCCAGTGTGTTTGGTGACGAATATGTAGTGAGGGCCAGCCAACGAGAGCATACAGGTCACAATGGTGGGTAGTATATGGGGCTTTGGTGACAAAATGGATGGCACTGTGATAGACTACATCCAATTTGCTGAGTAGAGTGTTGGAGGCTATTTTGTAAATGACATCGCTGAAGTCAAGGATCGGTAGGATAGTCCGTTTTACGAGGGCATGTTTGGCAGCATGAGTGAAGGAGGCTTTGTTGCGAAATAGGAAGCCAATTCTAGATGTAACTTTGGATTGGAGATGCTTAATGTGAGTCTGGAAGGAGAGTTTACGGTCTAACCAGACACCTAGGTATTTGTAGTTGTCCACATATTCTAAGTCAGACCCGCCGAGAGTAGTGATTCTAGTCGGGCGGGCGGGTGCCAGCAGCGTTCGATTGAAGAGCATGCATTTAGTTTTACTAGTGTTTAAGAGCAGTTGGAGGCTACTGAAGGAGTGTTGTATGGCATTGAAGCTCGTTTGGAGGTTTGTTAACACAGTGTCCAATGAAGGGCCAGATGTATACAAAATGGTGTCGTCTGCGTAGAGGTGGATCTGAGAGTCACCAGCAGCAAGAGCGACATCATTGATATACACAGAGAATAGAGTTGGCCCGAGAATTGAACCCTGTGGCACCCCCATAGAGACTGCCAGAGGTCCAGACAACAGGCCCTCCGATTTGACACATTGAACTCTATCTGAGAAGTAGTTGGTGAACCAGGCGAGGCAGTCATTTGAGAAACCAAGGCTATTTAGTCTGCCAATAAGAATGTGGTGATAATAATATAATAATATAATATGCCATTTAGCAGACGCTTTTATCCAAAGCGACTTACAGTCGTGTGTGCATACATTTTTGTGTATGGGTGGTCCCGGGGATCGAACCCACTACCTTGGCGTTACAAGCGCCGTGCTCTACCAGCTGAGCTACAGAGGACCACGTGATTGACAGAGTTGAAAGCCTTGGCCAGGTCGATGAAGTACTGTCTTTTATCGATCGCGGTTATAATATCGTTTAGGACCTTGAGCGTGGGTGAGGTGAACCCATGACCAGCTCGGAAACCAGATTGCATAGCGGAGAAGGTACAGTGGGATTCGAAATGGTCGGTGATCTGTTCGCACTGCTTTGACGTGTTGCGAGGCGTCACTGATTTACAGCGGGTTCCCAACCCTATTTAGCTATTTACATTTTAGTCATTTAGCAGACGCTCTTATCCAGAGCGACTTACAGTTAGTGAGTGCATACATTATTTTTCATACTGGCCCCCCGTGGGAATCGAACCCACAACCCTCGTGTTGCAAACGCCATGCTCTACGAACTGAGCCACATCCCTGCCGGCCATTCCCTCCCCTACTTCATAAGGCATTTATAAGTTATATCCTTCAAGAATCTATGGGTTAATATAATTAATTTAAAAGTCAAAAAATGTATGTAGCAATCGTGGATTGCCCCTTTAATGTTGTTTTGATCTTGTCTCCCTTAGGACTGCACCTTGTCATTCTGGGGCAACAGAAACACCACTGGAACATATGCAGTCCAGATGATGATGGAGGACTTCCCGACTCAGTCCATCTCTCTCTCCTATACTAACGGATCTCAATCTAACAGGACCTCAAATAATACACTCAGCAAACTGCCTGTTCAGTTTGCAGTGAGAGGTACATATATATGATCTAGACACTGCACAAAAAAATATAAACATGCAACAATATCAAATATTTTACTCAGTTACAGTTCTTACAAGGAAATCAGTCAATTGATATCACATGACTGGGAATACAGATATGCATCTGTTGGTCAAAGAAACCTTAAAAAAAAAAAAAGGGCCTCACAATGGGCCTGAGGATCTCGTAATGGTATTTCTGTACATTCAAATTGCCATCGATCAAATGCAATTGTGTTCGTTGTCCGTAGCTTATGCCGGCCCATACCATAACCCCATCGCCACCATGGGGCACTCTGTTCACAACGTTGACATCAGTAAACTGCTCGCCCACACGACGCCATACACGTGGTCTGTGGTTGAGAGGCCGGTTGGACGTATGGCCAAATTCTCTAAAACGACGTTGTAGGCGGCTTATGGTAGAGAAATGAACTTTCAATTCTCTAGTCACATCTCTGGTGAATAGTCCTGCAGTTAGCATGCCAATTACACACTCCCTCAAAAAATTGAGACATCTGTGGCATTGTGTTGTGTGACAAAACTGCACATTTTAGAGTGGCATTTTACTGTCCACAGCACAAGGTGCACCGGTGTAATGATCATGCTGTTTAATCAGCTTCTTGATATGCCACACCTGTCAGGTGGATGGATTATTTTGGCAAAGGAGAAATGCTCCCTAACAGGGATGTAAACAAATGTGTGCACAAAATGTGAGAGAAATAAGCTTTTTGTGCGTATGGAACATATCTGGGATCTTTTATTTCACCTCATGAAACATTGGACCAACACTTTACATGTTGTGTTTATATTTTTGTTCAGTGTAGTTTATCTTTATATCTAGGTAGTTTCTAATAAGTAGTTTCTTTTTATAAAAAATAAGATAATGCCTATGCCTTGTTTCCAGTAGAAGTAGTGATTGTCATTGCATTTTATGCAGAGTTGCCAACCCTGTAGCGTGGTTGTGGTACTGATTCATTCTGAAAAACATGCAGCAATGGTTTGTCTTTCAGTGGACCCCCCGGTGCCATCCTGTATGGAGGGGCTATACCTACCCATGTTCCTGTCTCCAACGCCAGCCCAGGGTGCACTGCTCTACGCCTCTGTGAACCAACCCCTGGAAATCACTGTCAGAGCACAGGCTACCCAATCCACGTAAGAGAAAATAAACGTGGAAACACATAGCCGATAGGTATAGCCTAAATCAGGGATTTTAAACGTAATAGTTCGACGGACGGGTGTGTTGATCAATTAAGTTCATTCATTAGTTAGAAACTCCCCTCACCTGGTTGTCTAGGTCCTAATTGATTAGTTGGGACCTCCCCTCACCTGGTTGTCTAGGTCTTAATTGATTAGTTAGGACCTCCCCTCACCTGGTTGTCTAGGTCTTAATTGATTAGTTAGGACCTCCCCTCACCTGGTTGTCTAGGTCCTAATTGATTAGTTAGGACCTCCCCTCACCTGGTTGTCTAGGTCTTAATTGATTAGTTGGGACCTCCCCTCACCTGGTTGTCTAGGTCTTAATTGATTAGTTGGGACCTCCCCTCACCTGGTTGTCTAGGTCTTAATTCGACACAAATTAAAAGGAAGTAACAAAAACCAGCAGGCCCTCCAGGAATAGAGTTTGACCCCCCTGGCCTAATGCATTATGACAGTGAGAGAAACACATTGTAAAACTATTTGTCAGTATTGAGCGGCAGTGGACTGTGGATCTGGAACTTTGAGGTAGAGGTCTGAGCGTGACTGATTTCTGTCCCACGGTGTTATTTTATGCGTAGTGGAGCAGCTCACTTGCCAGCCATGGCTTCAGCAATTTTGCGCCCGATGGGCAATATCAAATTAGCATTTAAAAAAATATATTAATAGATTTCCTGAGATTCTCACGTGGACCATTATATTATCTGTATTACTGGGCTATATCAGCCAATAGGCTATCTGTATTACTGGGCTATATCAGCCAATAGGCTATCTGTATTACTGGGATATATCAGCCAATAGGCTAGATGTAGTTTGAAGAGAGCAGAGTTGGAGAAACTTACACTTTCTCTTGAGCTATTTTTATAGCATACCTTTTACATTTTTTTTACATTTTAGTCATTTAGCAGACGCTCTTATCCAGAGCGACTTACAGTTAGTGAGTGCATACATTCTTTTTTATACTGGCCCCCAGTGGGAATCGAACCCACAACCCTGGCGTTGCAAACGCCATGCTCTACATCCCTGCTGGCCATTCCCTCCCCTACCCTGGGCCAATTGTGCGCCGCCCCATGGCTATCAGCAAAGCCTTGTCTGTCAGCGAAACAGTTCATTTACTGCCTTAAAAAAAAAACATAGCTGATATGGCTGACTTGCTTAAACAAATGTGGTTTTTACTGACAATTGAGATGTACAAACTATGGCATAAGGGGACGACGAGCGGATAAGAGGCAATCCGTAATTTCGATGAAGACATTAATGAGCGATCTAGGACGGACGTAGTCAATATAACTATTTGTTCAGCACTTTTTAAATGTACAGCGACAGAATTCAGAACATGGGCCGTTCTTACAGTGTTCTCCCTGTACACCAAGTCAGAACCGTAGGATAAATAAAGGGGGCGTATAAGCAGACAATGAAAGCTCTTACAATATTCGATGATTACATTTCTCTAAAACAGGTTACAGGCTACATGTGCACCACCAAGTCAGAACAGTAGGCGAAATTAAGAGGAGAAAATAGACCAAATTATTAGGGTGAGGCACATTGAACACAATTGAACACATTGAACACAATTCACTGGCATATTACATCATTTATGCTGCAGCATACAATTCATTTTTGGACTCACCTTGCTTACTTAAACAGGAAGGTGGCGCGACGGTCCTTTGTGGGCAAATTCTGTCATCAAAGTCTGGGATTCTCTGGATTTATGGTGGGAACTTGGAAATAAAACCGCACAACCACTCCACTGAATAGGAGGCTAGTGATCGCTTTGCAATGCTTGCAGTTAGCCACGGATTCCTTCCAAACCACCATTGTTAAATTTGCGATTTCCAACTTGTTGTGTAATGTTTATGTCCAATGGCCGATGCGCACCTATACGTTTTATCTATAATTTATCTTCATTATTTATCTTCATATGACAAGGATTAAAAAGGATTTGCCAGTAGATTGTCGACTTGATTCATGATGATGACTGCTAGCTAAGATTTTGAAAGTGTGATGTTGACATGATCAGTCCAATCAAAGCTACTGTAGATATAACGTGTTTTGACGTCATTTTATTTGTGGCCAATGACCTTGAACCTTCCTGGAAGGGCACTTATAATATAACTATGGCAGGACATATAGGGCTCTTTACTAAGAATTTAGACTTGGCCTGTGACGTAGGGTCCCCATGAGTGACAGAACACTGAGCCAATCGGGCGCTACGCTCCGTATTTTCCGCTGGCTTGCCCCAGCACCATAGAAAGCACTGAGCTAGGCTGAAACACCTGCATTATGGAGCTGCCTTACTCAAGAAAACAAAAAAGAGACCATGTTTGTATGCGGCTTTATTAACTCAATGATATATTAAAAATATATATTTTTTTACATAGTTTGAGAACTGATATGTGACACCTATTAATGCCACACAAAAAAAACAATATATATATATATATATATATATATATATATATATATATATATATATATATATATATATATATATATATATATATATATATATATATATATATATATATATATATATATAATTATTTTTGGCAAAAAATGTGGGGCTCAAAACAGGTGGGCTACAGCCTGGTCTATTTCACTGAGACCACAGGCGCACCTGATCTCGCAGGTATGGATACTGAACTGGAAGCAGCAAGAATGATGACAGCGACACGTGCTACGTTTTGCATATATGATATAGCCTATCTTTTAGGAGGATGATTTGCTGGCAGAGACAAATAAAATGACATTGTATTTATTTATTTTTTCCTCCCTGTGTGTTTGAAGGGTTTCCGAGCTGTTGGTGAGTGGACCTTCCACTATCACAAAGAACACCACGGTCCCAGGAGAGTACCTTCTAAGATGGACGCCCACTGAGGATGAGGAGAGAGGGTACTATCCTGTGTGCTTCATCGCTCGGGGAGCGAACAACAGGTCAGTCTGCAGCCCCTTAAACTGGAAACTTACAGCACAATATATTGTGTTCCAATGACTTACCCCGATTAAATTAAGGCAAAAAATTAACTTCAACTTGAAAACTTGTTTAATCCAGCATTTCTGTAGCCTACTATCAAGACTATCAGTTAAATGTAAATGTAGAAACATTTTGGTTGAATGCATTCAGTTGTGCAACTGACTAAGTTCCTTCCCTTTCCCGTCAATGGTATGTGTTTTCTTTTTTTTTATGCCTTATTAAAACCAATGGTATGTGGTTTGTTTGGTTTTGTAGTGGTTTATTAAAACCAATGGTATGTGGTTTGTTTGGTTTTGTAATGGTTTCTTAAAACCAATGGTATGTGGTTTGTTTGGTTTTGTAATGGTTTCTTAAAACCAATGGTATGTGGTTTGTTTGGTTTTGTAATGATTTATTAAAACCAATGGTATGTGGTTTGTTTGGTTTTGTAATGATTTATTAAAACCAATGGTATGTGGTTTGTTTGGTTTTGAAATGTTTGATTAAAATGCTGTTTAAGCAAAGATCTGAACAGTGTAACGGATGTTCCCACTTCTGTTGATCAGCTCCAAGTATCACTCTGAGCTGCGCTGCGTGATCGTCAGTGTTGGAAACACAAGCGGTGGGTACAGTATAACTACAGCATGTTCTCTTGATGTTATTGATCCCCTTTCTGGTGTTCTGGTAGTCTCGCGGTTACTTACAGATGCTAGTTGAAATGCATGTTTGAGACAATTACCAATCAATCAACCAATCTTTGTCTTGTCTTGTCTGTCTTTGTGCTGCAGCGATCAGAACCACGCAGAATGCAACTGCACTTCCAACTACCACCCAACCAACTACTGAACTCACAACCGCACCCACAAATTTCAGTACACAGGCAACCACAACTACCACAGCACCCACACCTAACACAGTGAACACAACTAACACAGTGAACACAACTAACACAGTGAACACAACTAACACAGTGAACACATCTAACACAGTGAACACAACTAACACAGTGAACACAACTAACACAGTGAACACATCTAACACAGTGAACACATCTAACACAGTGAACAAACCTATCACAGTGAACACAACTATCATAGTGAACACATTGAACACAGTGAACAAACCTATCACAGCGAACGCAACTATCATAATGAACACATTGAACACAGTGAACAAACCTATCACAGCGAACGCAACTTTAAGTACAAACCCAACCACCAATCTCCCAATCAATAATGTGGTCAATACATTAAACATCATTGGGCCTAGTAAGTAAAATATTAACTTTTTTTCAAATTTTTTAAATAATGTGTGTGTGTGTGTGTTGTAGTAATTTTGACTGTGTATCCACAGGATACATTGTTGGACTGAGGATAAAACTGTCCTCTCTGATCACACTAACAGATGATTACATCAGAAACGTGGTCTTACAGCAGGTCAGTCTCACTGTCAGATCAGACAGGTTCATAGTCAGCTAACGACAGGTTTCTCCTCAGCTCTACCTGATAATCACTGCGTGTGTTCTGGTTCCAGCTCCGCGAGGAACTGATCAGACGAGGGCTGCCAGGGAACTTCACACTACGCCTGAGAGCCACTTATGAGATCAGCCCCTGAGGGAGGGACAGGAATTCATCTCAAGTTTCTTTACTCCTACTTGTATTTCCTTCCTGGTATCTGATTCTGCAGATAGTTATTTTGAAGAAAAAGGGGTTCCTTACAATGACTGTATTTGGTTGTTTTGTACTTATCTCTCGTGGACAGACGCACGTAACATAAATTATGATTTTTGTTCTGGGTTACCAAGATTAGTTGAATGAACTGACAGTACGTCGCTCTGGATATTAGTTGAATGACTAAAATGTTAATTATTTATGGCTACAAGAAGAAATAGAACATAAATGTGGTTTCCCTGTTTGGTTAAGAACAGAGGTAACTGAAGTTTTTTCCTGTATGGTAATGTGACATTTACATTTAAGTCATTTATCAGACGCTCTTATCCAGAGCGATTTACAGTTAGTGAGGGCATAACTTTCTTTTTTTCATACTGGTCCCCCATGGGAAACGAACCCACAACCCTGGCGTTGCAAACGCCATGCCCCTACCAACTGAGCTACACGGGACTACTTTCATGTTGTGAGATAGCAAAATATTACTTCCACAATCAAGACAGGATAACCAAATTGCTTCAGATGATAATAAACCACGTTTCTTGGAGTTACTTTTTTCTCAACTTGTTTATATTACTTTCTAGTACGTCAAGGTAGCTTACAGAATAGCTACAGCTAACTAGCCAGCTAGCTTTGTAGCAATAGATTGCGCACCTTCCATTGTTTAGCTAAGTAGCTAGCTGTTACCAAACAGGTTCTTTCCTAGACTGAAGTTCTTTCCTGTTTGGTAATGTACAGAGGTAGACTGAGATTCTTTCCTGTGTCAAGAATAGTATGTTGAGGCTCAGTTTTCTGTGACAGAGGGCATAGGGAGGTAGGGAGGACCCACTTGCATACACCCACACACACACAAACACACACACACACACTCAGGAAGAAGTTTCACTTTCACTCATACATGGAACACAAAGAAGAAGGAACATTGAGGGAGAATTGACATTGACTAAAGAGAATAAGAAATTAATTGGGACTGGAATTTATTGCAATAATAATTAAAGGTTAAATATATGAAATGTTAAAAGTTGAAAACATTGGGAAATATTAAAGGGGGATTAAAGTAATGCAGTAAGCTGGTTAGGAGTGTTATAATGTTGTTTGCTTTAAGGTGTGATGCATATAGACTATGTTTGATTAGGCTTAGAGGACAAGGCCTTAGCGCCTGTAGGAGGTTGATAATGAGATTATATAATGGTGGAGTAATAAATTAGGCTGGAGTAAGACTAGAATTGAGTTAAGGAAGGTGAAGGGAATAGCAAAGGTTCATGTTAGAAACATTTATGTTATAAGAAGTTTATGTTAATTAAGCATATTAAGGATGTTAGCTTAAATCAGGAAATCCCCGGGTCAGAGCAGCAACGAGGTTGAAGCATATGTCCTGCCTAGGTGAGAAAAAGTGGAGGTTAGTGGGGGCTGAAAAAGCCCCTTTTGAGAAGGTGGACGCATTAGGTGTTAACCACCGAAGGCGTCATTGGAGCAGGTGGTAGTCACGATGACAGAAGAGGGCATTAGGGTATAAAGGAGGAAGGATTTTTGGGAAGGCTACGACTATCTTTGAGCTTGCTAGAAGAACCCGTCGTCTGCTGGAGAAAGATTTTTGCTGTAGCTTTTTAGCTTAAGATGCATTTAGATTTGTATTATACTTTGTTTTTATTCTTAAAGTGTTAAAGTACAATTCTAGGAGGAACCCGTAAGGTTACCTCATTGATAGAAGTGTGTTAAAGTAGCTGTTAGTTTTTTAGACGCCAACTGAGGGACTGAGCATCCTGCGGGGGGAGACAAAAAGCTGTTTATAATTTGTAGAAGGTAATAACACGTTTTTTCTTGTTATTAAATAATGTGCTTGTCCTAAAATTGTAATAGACAAAAAAATATTTTATTGGTACACCCTAATAAGGGTTTAGTTTTGGGCGCTAAAGGAATCTCTCAATTTAATCCAAGGTTAATTTGTGCTTATCATCAATTGGTGATATTGATTTGTGATTGATTGATTGATCTGGGATTATTTTTGCCTGTTTCTGGAATTTTGAATAAACTTGCTTTATTGTTCTGAAACCCTGTGTCATCAAAGAGTCCTGCTTTATTGTTCTGAAACCATTTGTCATCAAATAATCCTGCTTTATTGTTCTGAAACCCTGTGTCATCAAAGAATCCTGCTTTATTGTTCTGAAACCCTGTGTCATCAAATAATCCTGCTTTATTGTTTCTGGAACCCTGTGTCATCAAAGAATCCTGCTTTATTGTTTCTGGAACCCTGTGTCATCAGGGAATGCTGCTTTATTGTTCTGGAACCCTGTGTCATCAGGGAATGCTGCTTTATTGTTTCTGGAACCCTGTGTCATCAAAGAATCCTGCTTTATTGTTTCTGGAACCCTGTGTCATCAGGGAATGCTGCTTTATTGTTCTGGAACCCTGTGTCATCAGGGAATGCTGCTTTATTGTTTCTGGAACCCTGTGTCATCAAAGAATCCTGCTTTATTGTTCTGGAACCCTGTGTCATCAGGGAATGCTGCTTTATTGTTTCTGGAACCCTGTTGTCATCAGGGAATGCTGCTTTATTGTTTCTGGAACCCTGTGTCATCAAAGAATCCTGCTTTATTGTTCTGGAACCCTGTGTCATCAGGGAATGCTGCTTTATTGTTCTGGAACCCTGTGTCATCAGGGAATGCTGCTTTATTGTTATGGAACCCTGTGTCATCAGGGAATGCTGCTTTATTGTTCTGGAACCCTGTGTCATCAGGGAATGCTGCTTTATTGTTCTGGAACCCTGTGTCATCAGGGAATGCTGCTTTATTGTTCTGGAACCCTGTGTCATCAGGGAATGCTGCTTTATTGTTCTGGAACCCTGTGTCATCAGGGAATGCTGCTTTATTGTTCTGGAACCCTGTGTCATCAGGGAATGCTGCTTTATTGTTCTGGAACCTGTGTCATGCTTATTGTTG